TTTAACCCGTCATCGGTATCGGTGTTAGCGTTTCGCTAACATTAAACTTATTTTAGGAACCACTTGTTCAAATAAAAATAGATTGTTTTGAAACTCCACATACCTCTTATCTAAATAATATTAAACTAAAATAACAACAAAAAAAATACAAAAATATGTGGATAATGGATATCATGACTGGTAAAAGTACGCAGTACCGATTATGTTAGCGTACCGCTCGCACGATACTAACCGTGTTATAATTTTTTGAATTTTATTATTTTTTTTTATACTTTTAAATAATGGACAAAAATTGTGAAAAAGTGTGTGCGTGGTTAAGTGAGGTTGAGGATGATTACGCGTTATTTGATTCCGATGATACCGATGCCGATTCTGACTTTTGTATTGAAAATGTGGCAAGTGATAGTGATGAAAGCACCGATCAAACTACATCAAATGTACGTCGTCGATCACCTTCTCTTTCAGGTGAAAATATTACTATAATTTCCGAACCAGAGTTTTTCTTAGGGAAAGATAAAATAACTAAATGGTATAAAAATAACCCCCCTTCTAACGTCCGTACTCGTCGTCATAATATTGTTTTGCATTTGCCCGGAGTGAAAAGAATCGCTAGAGATGCCAAATCAGTCTTAGATTGCTGGAAGTTATTTTTTCCTGATACTGTTGTTATAGATATAGTTGAGTGTACTAATAAATATTTAGCGAAAATCCGTGCAAATTATCAAAATAATAAGAATGTGCGTGATACTACGAAAGAAGAAATAGATGCCCTTTTAGGATTATTGTACTTGGCTGGGTATTTGCGTAGCAATCATTTGAACCTACACGATTTGTGGAGAACTGACGGGTTTTCTCCTGAATATTTCCGGGCAGTCATGTCAGAAAAACGTTTTTCCTTATTACTTCGAGCTGTTAGATTTGATGATATTGAAACAAGGAACGTTAGAAGAGCAATAGACAAGCTAGCACCTATTCGTGCAGTTTTCGATGATTTTGTTCGCCGATGTAAAGAAAATTATACTGTAGGAGAGAATTGCACTATAGATGAAATGCTAGAAGGGTTTCGAGGGCGTTGCAGTTTTCGACAATATATACCAAATAAGCCAAATAAATACGGTATCAAAATTCAAGCACTCGTTGATTCTCGTACATTTTATACGTCTAATATGGAGGTTTACGTAGGAACTCAGCCAGATGGCCCTTTCAAATGTGACAATTCTCCGTCAAGTATTGTAAAACGACTAATAGCGCCGATATCAAAAACTGGCCGCAATATTACAATGGACAATTGGTACAATTCAATTCCATTGGCTAATGAGTTACTAAAAAATCATAATCTTACCGTAGTGGGCACTTTGAGAAAAAACAAAAGGGAAATTCCACCGGTTTTTTTAGAAACTAAAAAAAGAGAAGTAAATTCGACTTTGTTTGGATATGGAAAAGACCTTTTACTTACATCCTATACTCCAAACAAAAATAAAAATGTCATTATGATATCAAGTATGCATGATCAAGGTATCATTGACCCGGAATCCGGTGACCAAAAAAAACCAGAAGTCATAACGTACTATAATGGTACTAAAGGTGGAGTGGATGTAGTAGACGAAATGAAAGGCGAGTACTCGGTGGCAAGAATTAGTTGTCGATGGCCCCTAACTATTTTTTTTTCATTGATGAATATTGCTGGGATAAACAGTCAAATTATATATCGCGAAAATACAGATAAAATGATAACTCGTCGAGAATATTTGAAAACTTTGGGACAAGAGCTCACTAAACCTTACATGGTAAAACGTCTTGAACAGCCATGTTTATCATTTCTTCTTCGACAACAAATAATAAAAATGACTGGATGTACTTCACAAAATAATAAAGAAAGTCCGAATCCAGATGTTTCGACAAGTGATCAACGAATCAGATGTAATTTTTGTCCAATCAGAAAAAATCGCTTTACAAAGGTACCATTATAAAGATATTTATTGGTTATTTATACATTATATTATTTTTATATTATATTTTACAGGTCAGTTGTTCGTTATGTGGTGTGTATATATGTAAAGAACATACTACTCCTACTTGTCCGACATGCAACACCGTGAAAGAAAACTCGGAAAATTCTAACGATGAGTTATAATTTTAAAATTGTTTTTATTTTAATAGATTTTGTTACAAAAAAGTGATTTGTTTAATTTTTATATAATATCTTTTTTTTTCTACCAAAAATGATGTTTTTTTTATTTTTTATAAGTTTTTTCCGAGAAAACTCGGAAAATTCGAACGATGAGTTAAATTTTTTAAATTGTTTTTATTTTAATAGATTTTGATACAAAAAAGTGATTTGTTTAATTTTTATATAATACCTATCTTTTTTTTTCAATAAATAATTCACAGAACCGAAAAAACGATAATGTTAGCGTAACGCTAACACGATACCCATCATGTAACAGTATATAGCGATACCGACGACGGGTTAAATATATTATTCTTAAACATTTTATAAAATATGTAGTATTCGTTATTTAGTAGTATTAATTCTCATTGTAAGCATATGGTCATATTTCTAGTTATGTTAGTAACTATTTTTGTAAAGCTTCTTCGTTTGAGAGATATATACTATTGTTTGCCTTACGTAATGTTAATCCCGAACAGATGACTATCACGATCTATGGTTTGAGGAGCGAGCCGTTTATCAATGGATTGTTAGTGTTAACACGCATGGGTCAATTCTTAGAAATATAATGCGTATACATGGTTTTTCAAAAATAGTATGAAATTAAATGTGTTATACGTGATTATCAAAGTAAATATTTTACCAACCCCACTTAAATTGCTACCCACATGGAATTTTTCAGTATCAATGGTCAATGGCTCTATCGTCCACTGCCACAGAGTCAGTCTGTTCTAGACACTTTTACGTTTACACACACTTTGCTCTCGCTCTCCCGGTGTTTTTCAGTTCTTATATTTTGTTTATCACTCAGAGTTTAATTGTTGCTTCTCGTTTTTCGTTATACATTTTAAATATGTTCAAATGCAGTCAGTGCCATTCGGTTTTTACCCGTAAGGATAATTTATCTAGGCATCAAAAAACTCATACAGGTATACGTTTTCCATGTACCGTATGCCACTTGTTATTTTCATACAAAACCACTCGCAATAAAAATATGAAAAATGTTCATGGTAAGTATTTATACAATATTATTTATTTTTCTCAATATTAATTTTTTTTCTAAGGAATCGCTCACGCCCCGGCTCAAAAAAATATTCAGATTGCCCCGCAAATATTTGTCCCCGATCTCCCGGCCGGTGGATCGAACACCGTGTCTGAAGACGAAATATGTATGATGGCTATGGATACTTTCGAAAATCAAGACTTGGCAGCCGATATTGCAGGTTAGTTTATTTTAGCTTATATTATAGATTTTAGAGAATCGTATAAATTAAAAATTTTATTTTAAACTTATCAAGTGGTCTGTGAAGCGATCAATGGTATAATAGTTGGATTATTCCGGCATTGCACCGGTTGTCAGACCGTTTGGTACATTTAATTTTTTTAAGTTTTTTGATAAGACATTAAATTTATTTTAAATGAAAGATTTTATTTATCGCTCTCTAGATTTATTAAAGATTAGGCAACACATTTATCAGATTTTAATTAGGTTTTATTTCTATTATTAAGATTCTTATACAACTGCGGGTCATAACGGCAAACGTGTTTCCACTGCCAACACCGCGTCGGCTGCTAGGGCAAAAAAGGTGCGTTTAAACTTAGTGCAGTCCACCGGGTTCAATGAAATATCGTCGTCCGCCAATAGGAAAGTTGTGTGGTATTACGTGAAAAATAATAATAATATTCAAAATTATACCGAATTTCTCCGATTGCTCATGCCTGAGATGAGAAATATATTAAATACACGCGTTCAAGAAGGTCCGATTAAATTTAATCTCAAACTCGAGGCGACTTACAACCGTCCAAACGTTCCCAATTCGTCGGAGAATAGGGCATTTAAGACCTCGGCGGTTGAAATTTGTATAGATAATAATATTACGGAAGTTATTGAGAGGGAGTACATGAAGTTGTTGGCAGAGGAGGAAACATATATATCGCATGGAAGTGGATTTATTTTGGATACAATAGATGGGTTATTGTTGGCGGTATACACATATACACCTATGGGCGGCTCATCATACATTCAATTACCGTCATTAATCGATAGGAAACGGGGTACAATTAACCCGCAAAACATGGATCAGCAATGTTTTAAGTGGGCGATACTAGCGAAACACGTGATGGGGACTTCGGTATGTCATGTTGGGGTAAATTATACAAAACATGAGGACAAATATAATTTTGAGGGTATTTCGTTCCCAACGCCGCTATCAGATATAGCAAAATTTGAAAAAAACAACATCGGCGTGTCTGTAAATGTCTACGGGATTGAGAAAAAGTTTCAACCACCGAGGAAGTATCCGACATACGAGGTCTACCCGCTACGTGTCGTTGATGAAGAGAAGGCCGATCATTTCGATTTGTTGTTGCTGACAGACGAGAACGGGTTACACTACGTTTATATATCAAATTTTTCCCGGCTCATACGTGCGCAGAAAACAGGACATGATGGACGAGTAGTATTTTGCAAGCGATGTTTTACCAGCTTTGACAATAGGAGTAATAAATTAAAGTTGAGTGGACAGGTAGCGTTGGAGCATCACAAAAAGATTTGCGGAGCACATAAACCGATATTACCAGTGATGCCAGAAGAGGGAGGGTGTATCGAATTCAAATCGTGGACAAATACGGTTCGACACCCTTTTGTCCTATATGCGGATTTTGAGGCATTGCTGGTGAAGACGGATGAGGTGAAGGGAAAAAGCACGAACTTAGTACAAAGACATGAAGCTATGAGTAACGGATTTTTGGTAAAGGCGAGTGATGACGTACCGGATGAGTTAATAAAACAACACGATATACCGACGGGGCCGGTAATCTATAGAGGGGCGAGAATAAGACGGACGTGGCGAGGCACTTTATTGAAACTGTGACTAAAATATCATTAAAGATCGAAAAACTGCTTAAAACCAACACACCTATAATTTTCACGGATGAACAACGGCAGTCACATGATGCATGTAATTTATGTAATTTATGTAAGACGAACTTTACACATGACAACTATAAGGTTGCAGATCACTGCCATCTCTCTGGAAAATTTAGACAATCGCTATGTAATGTTTGCAATCTCAAGCTCCAAACACCGAACTTCATTCCTATATTTTTCCATAACCTGTCCAACTATGATGCTCATATGATAGTGACGGAACTCGGTCACGACACGCAAACTATTAGAGTGATTCCGAACAGCGAAGAAAAATTTATTTCATTCACGAAATACGTGTCAAATACATTCAGCATGAGATTTATCGACACTTTTCGGTTTATGGCATCAGGTCTGTCAACTTTAGCCGAAAATCTTGTTACACCGGGTCTAGAGAACTTTAGAGAGACAAACAAAGTTTTTACCAAAGTTGATATGCCAATCGTTACACGGAAGGGGGTATACCCTTACGAATATACAGATAGTTGGGGACGGTTAAATGAAACGAGAATACCAAGGAAGAGAGATTTTTATAGTACATTGACCGAGTCGGGGATAAAGGAGGAAGATTACGAGCACGCAAAGAAGGTATGGGAGCACTTTGCATGTCAAACACTTGGTGAATATTCGGATTGCTATTTGAAAATCGACGTGTTGTTGCTGGCGGACGTTTTTGAAAACTTCCGCGATGTATGTATAAGGGCATATAATTTGGACGCCGCTCATTACTACACTGCACCAGGTCTCAGCTTCGATGCAATGTTAAAGTATACAGGACAGAAATTAGAATTTTTGTCCGATTACGATATGTTATTGATGTTTGAAAATGGTTAGTATGTCAATATTTTTTTTTAAAAATACACATATGATAATATTATTCTTTTTAACTAGGTATTCGTGGTGGTTTGGTGCAGGCGAGTAAGAGGTACGCAAAGGCGAATAATATCAAGACGCCAGATTATGATGAGACTAAGGAAAAATCATGGAAAAATCAAAAAACATGCCCTACGGTGGATTCAAGTGGGTTGAAGCCAATTTAAATGGATTGAACGATTTGAACGATACTTCCCCCATAGGACGAGTGTACGAGGTGGACGTGACATATTCGAAAGAATTGCATGATAAACACGGTGACCTACCATTATTACCACAAAACAGTATACCACCAGGCTCAAAAGTGAAAAAATTGATGGCAACGTTTGAGAAGAAAAAAACTACATAATACACTACCGGAACCTGCAGCAGGCAATTAAAAATGGATTAATTGTTGAAAAAGTAAATATTTACATTTTTATAAAATTTTAAATTGATTTTTAACATTTTTTTTTCTCTTATAGGTACACAGAGTTATACAATTTAACCAGTCAGCTTGGCTAGCTAAATACATTGATTTGAACACAGAGATGAGGAAGAAGGCTAGGAATGATTTTGAGAAGGACTTTTTTAAATTAATGAACAACGCTGTATTTGGTATGTTACTTTATTTATTTATTCAATTTATATGTTTTACTGACATTTTATTTTCTAGGTAAGACTATGCAATCAAAGCGTAAGGAGATGAAGATGGAGTTGGTGTCTTGCGAGAGGAGGTTGCAGAAACTTATAAATAAGAGCACATTTAAACATTGTACTATGTATAGTGAAAATCTAAATGCAGTCGCTTTAGAAAACAAAATTATTAGATTTGACNATTTAATTCGACAAACCATTACCTATAAAAAGTGCTTTATAAAAAACTAAGTTCCAACATAAAACAATACCTATTTGACATAGAAAATAAGTGAAAAACATGGTTTTTAAATTATTTTGTATCCAAATTTTAGGGAGCGATGCAAAAATAAAATGGAAAAACACAAAGGATACGTTTAGAAAAGAACTACAGAAAGAACCAATTAGACGTTCAGGTGATAGCGGGATTGAATATAAATCTAAATGGCCATTTTTTCAAATGATGATGTTTGTGAAGGATTCTTTACTTCCTAGTTCTATGTCTGGAAATTTAAATGTTGGAGAACCAGATTCATTTTCATTACATGAAGCTACTGATGAAGCCAAAGAAAGTGACCTTGATGTAACGGGTACATCATTTACTGATGTGACATCGCCGTCTACATCTACGTCACATTTACCCGATATTAATCCCAAGGTTACTTCAAAAATGAAAAGAAAGAAAAAAAATAGTAAAGCAGATGATACTCATAGACTTTTAGAACTAGAAGAAAAAAAAATTGCCATTCTGCAAAAAGCACAAGAGACAGAAAATAAAAAAAATGAGGACCCAGACGCTCAATTTCTTCTCAGTATCCTACCATACATAAAAGAATTTGATCCTTTAGAAAAACTCGAAATCAGAAGTCAAATTCAAAATGTAGTTCTAAACGCTTATAGAAAAAAAAAAATACATCGGGAAACCGCTCACAGCTTGAGTCTATTCAAGACATTCAGACCGACCTTCTAAACCAGCCAAGCGTAAAAAAAATGTACCGTCCATATCAGGAAAGTCGTCTTAATTCTACTCTAGGACAATCCCAGTGGAGTATGCCTGATAACGTTGATAATACGCCAAGAATTGTAGATATGCAACAGGCTAGTGATGTTCTATTGGGAAATAATCAATTCAACCAAGATTTTTTTAATCTTAATCAGCAGACGTTTTAAACATAAGTTTAAAAAAGTCAGTAACAAAATAAAAATATATTTACTTATATAAAAGTGAATATATTATAAGATAACATTATGATTTAAATTAATTAGCTATTTGAAATTTGCAGGATGCCAAATTGTTATATTTAATTTTATGATTTAATTTATGTTTAATTAACAGTAATAATTTTATTTTTATTGATTTTTTTACCATTTTATATAATTTAATTTATTTTAAAAATAGCTGTTCTTATAATTTTTTCTATTGATTTATAAACTTTAATTGACTTACCTTATAGTTACATACAACCTTTCAGCAGGAGATATTGGTTTTTTGAAATTTGAAATCTTCTTTCTAATACGATGATTGATTTTACTCAATATAAAATCGTAAGTATTAACTGACATTCGTAAATAATCAAAAAATTTATCCGGTGATTTTCGTAAATCAGTATATAAATGGTGATATTCACCATATATTAATCTGCGGCGATTAATAGGATGAATACCAACTCTTTTTTTTTTTAAAAATGAATTCCTTAAAATTGGGTTATCTAACAAAATTGATAGACGATTTATCGACATGATTATAATTTGGAGTATAAAATCGAAATGACGAAAAATAAGATAAGTATTTATATTTTATACAAAAACGCTCGCCGCTCGTCGCCCAATATACACACTTCGCCGCTCACCGCTGGTCATCGCTGACGTGCCGCTCGACGCTCGCCTATGTACACGAGGCCTCACGGTTCCAACACGTCACACAAAAGTGTTTAAATTGTATATAGGATATATCGCCCGAACAGTGTTCACTGTATACATGTTTTAAATTGGTTTCATCTTGTTTGAATAATACTATTAAATTTGCATTATCACGTATCAACTGTTTAGGTACTTTTGAATAACTCTGAGCCAGATAAAATATATCTATTTTATTGTGACGACCTCGAGAAAAATATTCCCTAATTACGTGCTGATGTTCACCGATAACATCATCCATGATAAAAATAGAATTTGGTAAAACTTTCTCGGGTGGAATAACTTTATCATTCTCAAAAAAAGTAAAAAAGTTAACACCGTCAATTCCATCAATAATACGTTTTAATAACTTATATTTTGGTTGTTCTAACGTTTTAGAGTATATGTATTTACATATATTTTCACAACGTAACCCATTTTCGTCGACGAGTAAAAAATATACCAGGTTAGTTTTTCCACTACCGGAGCTTCCAAGTACAAGAGATCTCAGTGTATTGGGGAAAAGCTCACCATGACGCAACTGTAGAGTATCAGGGGTATCAATGTTATAAATTCGAAGTTTTTTCTCTTGCTCGATAAAGCGCATTTTTAATTTTTCACTATAAATACAGATGTTCTGACGATGAAAGCGTCACACGATGTCTCGCGTTCGTAAGCGGAACAACAATAAGGGTTCTGGTCTTATCAACTCTGTTATAAATCATTTACCCGTGGAATTACATTTACCCGGTTATAGGTAAGTCTACGCACAATATTATTATTAAATCCGATATAAATTTTATATATATGTTTATAGATTTGCCGGTCCTGGGACTAAATTAAAAGAAAGATTAG